AACCTTATTATGTATATTTAGCATGCACAATTTGTCCAAAATTTCCTGAAGTTCTATAGAATCGTACTCCAGGTCAATTCGTAACATAATTTTTTAAAGGATTAGACAACATTGATAGAAACATGCTATTTGAGCCAGGTGAAACGAGACGGCAGTTAAAGGTGCAATTAGGAAATAATCTTTGAGTTTTAAGAACTTAGCTGGACTTCACTAGACAAGAACAGAGTAATGGTAAACACTGCACAGTTACAAGAGTTTTAACACCTCAGAGGCAAAAATCAGCAACACTTGTCTTTTATTTTTATAGAGGTGTGACTCGACACACACACAAAAAAAAGCGAAAGTTAATGAGAAAAATTAGTCGAGAACATATATACTAAAAAATCTAATTTTTTCTTTACATTCACTGCTTATGAAACCTAAATAGAAATAACATATTTACGCGAAAAAATCCCAGGTGGAGCCGCCGTAAAGGGAACCGTACTTGATCCTGGTTTGTTTGGCCAAGTCTTCGGCAGACTCGATGGGCGACTCCATGCGCTCCACGGTGAGGAAGGCGGCCAAGTTGGCAGTGTAGGAAGATATCATTATGAGTGTGAAGAACCACCAGATGCCAGCAACGATGCGGGTAGACACAGCTCTGTCGGAAGGTGGACACAGGAGAGAATGAAGACGAAGAATGATGCAGGCGATGAACTGAAGATCAGGGAGCAAGTCGGGCTAAGGTCAATGAAGGTTCACGAGAAATGCATAAAGCATAGACGAAGATTATGTAGTTGAGGTAAAATGAAAATAGAGAGAACACAAGCAATAGATAGAAAAAAAATATAAACAATTTATTTAGAAAGTGATCAAAATTATTAGAAGTAAAAATGATATACAAAGAGAAAGATGAAGAGCATCAAGCAAAAAGAAGTACATAGATTCAGAGGGAAGATTATGTAAATTTTTTTAAGAAGTAAGGAATAGTGTAAAGGAATGTAGAAAGGTATATATTTTTTTAATTAAGTCACCTTTACTCGCTTGTCATTTATTTCATATGTATAGAGTGTTATACCACAATACGACCACTGCACATCATAAAAAAGGAGAATCCAGTGCTTGGCACAGCTGCAACAATCCTTTTCTTGGAGTAACAACGTTCTTCAACAATGTCTTGCGGGAAGGATTCCTGAAGAAATGAAACAATTTTTTTTTTGGTTGGGGAGAAGGTCTCAGACGCATTCGCTGTCTTACTGCCAAAGCTGCAGTGAGAAACATTGACACAGAAGCCTCCAGCTTACTCCAGCCAAACTAATGGGGTTTTGGTGTCTCTCAAGACAGTGAAGCGGCAACTCATGCAGTAAGAGCCTACATCAACGACTTTCCAGAAGACAAAGCCTTAATCAAACTATGCTTTAGAAATTCTTTTGTCTTGATAAAAAGAGACGAGGTATTGGCAGCTGGTCGAGAGCCGTTCCCAAGTATTTTTCCCTTTATTTCAGCTGGCTGCAGCAAAAATTCAATTATTTTATTCGGAGAGAATGAAGTCACCTCATCAGAGGAAGTTCAGCAGACAGACTCACTCCATTCCTCCTCTGCATGGCGGTAAGATAATTTACATCCAGCATGCACACTGAACTCAGTATCTGGTACCTGGGTGATGGCACTATGGCAGGTACAGAAGAGTCTCTGCTAGAGGACCTACAACTAGTGAAGTCAAAGGAAGAAACTTTAGGGCTCTTTCTCAATACCTCAAAGTGTGAAATTATCTCTGCAAACTAATAAATAATTACAGCTGTGTGAACAAGCCTACCTGAAGCCATAACAACAACCTCTTCCAGCAGAACTGTACTGAGAGCACCGCTGGGCCATCAGGTTATCGACAGTCCTCGAAGACAAACTACACACAAGTAGAATTACCGGCATTTCTGTCCTCGTGTATGGCACCCCGTGAATTAGCGCAGGAGATAGTCCCGGAATACTTTAGAAGTGCTGTAGGAGCTCACATCTTAAAATTAATCGAAGCAACTTCGCAGTGGGACAACAGACCAGCTCCTTCCAGCAATCACAAACTGTCCCAAAGCGGCAGATTTATAATGAAGAAAATCCCCCAATAATACTCATCAATTCTTCTGGAAAGAACGAAGCTCGCCACCTAGCGGTGAAGGCACACATTCTGGCAATTTCCTTTTGGTTATCCCTAATTTTTCCTTGCGCACTCGGCTAGATTCTCAGGCTACATTCGGATTGGTGTAGTTCTTCACCTAACCGCCCCCATCCTCACTGAACATAGGTGCATTTGCGGCAGTGCGTCAGCTGATCAGTTTGGGATACATGATCTCGTTTGTTATAAGTGTAAAGTGAAGTAAGCCAGACACAAAGAGGTGACTGACATCATCAAGCAAAATCTCGCTATATTTCATAGCAAAACGGGAATCTCAGGTACTGAGAACCAATGGAAACCGGAAGTGCCAAGACGGAGTTACTATGCTACCCTGGAAAGACGGTAAGCAGATTGCATGGGACTACACCTGTGCGCCTACGTTGGCGGACACCTACTTAACAATACTCTAAAGTTGTAGGTGATGGTGCCACCAGTTTCATGAACACCCAGAAGATCAACAAATACAGTGGGCTGGCACTATGCTATTACCTCGTACAAATAGGATCAGAAAACATCAGTGTGGGGGGCCAATGAACTTTCAGATTTCTGAAAAAGCTGGGTGACAAAATCATCACGCAACCAAGGACCTATGACGACCAGCTTCCTTTTCTAGAGACTCAGTGTTGCAGTCAAGAGAGGAAGTGTACCTGCAACATTCTGAATACTCGACCCACAGCCAGGAAGCTGGATGAAGTATTCAAGATACACAATATGTGTAGGCTCTGTGATCTCCAAGGATGAGCAGTTACAAATAGTTACGACCTCTCTTTTAACCGCAGCTTCACATGCGTTCCCCAAAACCTCAAGTAGAAATCCTCGTGCATTGAACTCGAAGCTCCTTGATTTTAAAAGAACAAGGGCGGTTGCCAGGCATGAAATCCGTAAGGAAAAAAGTACAGAAACTGAGTAGCAGGTACTCTCCAGACCCAACTTCCGTTCTTAAGGTTGCTGGCGTTAACATTGCGGACGCTTCTGAAGTCACAACAGAAACTGGAAATCATCTCATCCGTATATATCAGAGGCCCCATATGTGCCCCTCATTTCTTTCCTTCAAATCTGCCATAGAGTTAATAACTTTGGACTTTACTTCTAGCGCATAGAAATCTTATAAAGTGTTTCTCATGCTCCGAGAATTTGAGTGAACACTTACTAACAGTCGGCAGGAAGACCTGATGCCATTCATATGCGTATGCTTCAACACTTACATCGGACGACTTTAGCAGTTTTCTTATGTCACTTTAATCTTCTTTGGTCGCAAGGAATTTGTCCTCGTCCATGAAAAGCTGCCATTGTTCCGTCATATCATAACCCGGGAACTTCGACTATGATGCCTCTCACTCAACCAGTTGCTCTTACCAATGCAGTTTGCAAGTTGTTGAAAAGTCTGGTAAATGAACGTTTGGTGCGGTATTTGGAGACGCATTTGTCTTTCCACTCGTCAGTTATTACGATTATCTTTTTTATCTTGAAAACGCTTTTGACACTACCTGACTATGTAACATATTAGCCAAAGGTCTTTCCTTAGGCCTTCGAGGTAATTTGCCACTTTTCCTTAAAAAATTCTTGATTTAGACATTTCGGTGCTACTTTAGCGTGTGGTCTACCAGCTCATTTACCCTAACCTAACCTAGGTTAGGGTAGTGAAAATGAGCTGGTAGACCGCACGCTAAAGATAAGATAAGAGATAAGATTTCGTTCGGATTTTTAACCCCGGAGGGTTAGCCACCCAGGATAACCCAAGAAAGTCAGTGCGTCATCGAGGACTGTCTAACTTATTTCCATTGGGGTCCTTAATCTTGTCCCCCAGGATGCGACCCACACAAGTCGACTAACACCCAGGTACCTATTTGCTGCTAGGTGAACAGGACAATAGGTGTAAGGAAACGTGTCGAAATGTTTCCACCCGCCGGGAATCGAACCCGGGCCCTCCGTGTGTGTCCAGGCCGCAGGTCCCTCAGGGTTGTGTTCTGGCCGCAGGTCCCTCAGGGTTGTGTTCTGGCCGCAGGCCCCTCAGGGTTGTGTTCTTGCCGCAGGTCCCTCAGGGTTGTGTTCTGGCCGCAGGTCCCTCAGGGTTGTGTTCTGGCCGCAGGTCCCTCAGGGTTGTGTTCTGGCCGCAGGTCCCTCAGGGTTGTGTCCAGTCCGCAGGCCCCTCAGGGTTGTGTTCTGGCCGCAGGCCCCTCAGGGTTGTGTTCTTGCCGCAGGTTTCCTCAGGGTTGTGTTCTGGCCGCAGGTCCCTCAGGGTTGTGTTCTGGCCGCAGGCCCCTCAGGGTTGTGTTCTGGCCGCAGGTCCCTCAGGGTTGTGTTCTGGCCGCAAGGTCCCTCAGGGTTTGTGTTCTGGCCGCAGGTCCCTCAGGGTGGTGTCCAGTCTGCAGGCCCCTCAGGGTTGTGTTCTGGCCGCAGGCCCCTCAGGGTTGTGTTCTGGCCGCAGGTCCCTCAGGGTTGTGTTCTGGCCGCAGGTCCCTCAGGGTTGTGTCCAGTCTGCAGGCCCCTCAAGGTTGTGTTCTGGCCGCAGGCCCCTCAGGGTTGTGTTCTGGCCGGACTCCGAGAGCAGTCAAACTCTCGAAATTCTTCAAAGGTATATCAAAGGTAAACGTATATCCCTCTTTAACTTATTGTCAGCAACTAAATTATTTAACCAACTATAATTATATGTTTGTTTTAGCGCTCACCGTTACCCTGCAGCGCTGTCACCCTTGCTGGTTTAGCGCGTAGTTTTGATTGTAATAATATTCTTGTGATGTCATGCATGCTGTTGTTGTTCCCAATGTATATTTTATTGTATTTTCTTTTCAAAACAATGTTGACAAGCATCTCGAGGAAGAAACCTCCAGAGGTTTCACCTAAAGAATGTTTTATTTCTCTGTCTCTCTGAGGCCGAGGGTCCTCAGTGTTACCTCCTATCAGAGAAATGTTTGGATTGATTTTGTATTGCGTTAGTCCCAGTTTGTTAATGCAAAAAGCTGGAAAATTTGGGAAACAGGTATTCGTGAGATTTCTGAATGCCTCACCCAACTACCTTCACTTTACTGCTGATGACTTGATAATGCAGATTCTGAGAGGTGTATTATAATGCTTGTGTATTATAGAATACTGGTGTATGTGAGATAAGTATGACTTCTAAGTTGGAGTTCTCTACAGGAAGGTTTAATTTAGTTTAGTTTTTTTTTTTTTATGTCCTAACTTGCCATTTTTGTTGGAGAAATTTGGATACTAGAGTCCATGTCGTAACTTGTAAAAGCCAAGTCTGACTCACTTCAAATCTTCAATGCTCAAATAAAAATACGTTAGAAACCAATGTCACACTTCGCACTAACCTTTTTTTGCGAAGAGTGAGGTGCAGGGTGCTGGGGTTATGCAACACAGGGATGGCTCTCACCCATCGTGAAGCCACCGAAATGCGTCTAAATTTACCTACACATCAGTAAAATATTTCCCCATTTTCAAAGAATCATTCGGTTGTTGTGTCTGTGTCTGTCAGTTTCCGAGTCTGTGTCAGTGTCTGTGTCTGTCAGTTTCCGAGTCTGTGTCAGTGTCTGTGTCTGTCAGTTTCTGTGTCTGTGTCAGTGTCTGTGACATCTGTTCAAGAAGTAACGATGCTCGGGCAATAAGATAATGACAGGAGTTTTGGCAAACTAAATTATTCAACATTTCTTTTATAGTTTCCTGAGTTGAAATTGACTCATCTAGACGTACTCCTGTTAACCCTTTTGTGGTCTAATTCCTAGGCCTTTTGTGTCTACATATTCTGTTGCGCTACCTTCCACAGGAAGGGTATGTTGGTGCACAATAAACCAGACGTTGAAGAGTTGGTGTAATAAAGTGTCGGTGAGGAGATCTTGGAAAATGCCACTTTGGTTGTGACACTGAGCACCAGAATGCGTATCTAACAGACAGACAAGCAGTCCAGGGACTCAGGTCTCTGCTGATGAATTGATTTAGTATGAGCGACATGTTGCTGAGTGGCTAAACCGCTTCTACTGGAAGGTGAGATGTATCGAGGTACATCACGACCAACAAGTAGCTGACTTTGAAGACTGAAATGTGTTCACTACGAGGCACAAGTGTTTATTACAGGAATGGTACTAACAATATTCTTTACTAGTATTTTACGAGTCTCGGCAACCCTTCTTGAACTAGAGAAAACATCTTGAAAAATATCCTGAACGAAAAACTCATTACGTTGGATTGACGATCTCAAGTTAAGTGTTTTATTCCATCTCTATTATGAATATTTCAAGATAATACATTAAATCTACCAAATAACTTTTTACCTGTATAAGAAAATGTCTGCTAACCAGGTTATATATCTAAAACAATGTTTTTATAACCAAATATTTTTATTTTTATTGTTCCGTTTATTTTAGGGTTGACAATATGAATGTAAAAAGTCACTCAGTGATATGTTAGTTATCGACACTGTCTTAAACAATTGTAACTTAACTAAGAGCTGAAATATTGCTTTCGGATTAACTCATCACCGTCAATACTGAGCAAAAGATTCGACACAAATAATTCAGATCCATTATTGTCTAATAACCACTATCGTCTAGTAACCAACAGTGCCAAGATATAATTTGTGTCTAGTTATCGCTAGTATCTAGTTACCACTAGTAATAATAATAATAATAATAATAATAATAATAATAATATAAATAATATCTTTATTTCTACAAGTACATGTACAAGGTATACAGACCATAGCTGACATCAATGACATACTACTATACAGAAAGTCACTTGCATTTATCGCAAATTAGGTCAGTTTTGTCTCAGGATGCGATCCACACCAGTCCACTAACACCCAGGTACCTGTTTTTCTGATGGGTGAACATCGACAACAGGTGTAAGGAAACATTTCCAATATTTCCACCTCTTCGCCGGGAATCGAACCCGGACCCTCACCGTGTAAAGCGAGAGCTTTTGCCACCAGGCCACGGGCAGCGTATTGTGTAGTTATCACTAGTGGCTGGTTACCATTAATGTCTCGTCACCACTAGAGTATAGTTACCACTAGTGCCTAGTTACCACTAGTGTCTAGTTATCATTAGTGTCTAGTTACCACTAGTGTCTAGTTATCACCAGTGTCTAGTTATCACTAGTGTCTAGATATCACTAGTATCTAGTTGCCACTAGCGTCTACTTACCACTAGAGTTGTAGAGAAATTAGCTGCAAGAGGAGGCAGGGAGAAAGGGTGCTACGACCCCCTGCCGTGACCTCTCCCTCTTTCCCACAACGCACGAGATGTAGGGAGATTATATATATTATATTCGAAGTCTCATTGAATAAATTATGTTAGAGGTTAAACCATATGTGTCATTCAACGCAAGAGACGTCTGCCGAACGCGAGACAGACGCGCATCCTATTTGTACTCACCTATTATCATTCGAAGTCTCAATAACTCAGATTCAAAGTCTCATGAAGTCACATACCAAACTAGCCGTAAATCTTACAGTGGAGTCTCAACAACTCAGATACCACACTGGACTGGTATGCCAGACATCCCTCCTTCCTACCTATAATATAATTCACACCGTGTTTCCCCGAGAAAGCTTCTAATTCCAAATCCTTCCAAAATAAGTTAGTTATATATCTTTAGCCTAATGATATAGCTATTAAAATAAATCTAGACGTAGAACACTCCGGAGTAAAAGAATTCACATTCTTTGACCCAACTAAGTCATCATAGTTGGTAGCTGAACTTTCCAGACATTTCTCTGTAGAAATTGACTATATAAGACGAGCCGGAGCACCGAGGCTTTATTAATCCGACAGAAAGAGTGACAAGTGAAAAGCTGCATCAGAAGAACAATGGCAAACCACACCGCGGTGAAACGTAGAAATGCGTGACCATATCCTTGTGATTTCGTACATCCGTACTGGGACAATCTCTGGGTAGAACTGATAAAGAGATACGATGTTATGATGCGAGGTATCTCCATTAACTCTTCGTGCCATGAAACATTAATCACGGACATATTAAGGAGAACTGAAGCAGAGATTCAGCCTTGAGACGCAAATAATTAACTCTGCTAAGGAAGGGATCGTCAGTCAAATGAAGAAGTCTGTCAATATTGAACAAGTCGATGCATTGTGTTTTGAACAATCTAATTGTGCTATGAACTAGAACTCTAGTGTGTATCATGAACTCTCCACAATACGTTCAACATGACTAAGTTGACAAAAGAAGTAAATATGGCCTAATGATTCATCGGAGTACAACTGTCTTATCTTCAATCTAGCCATCAATACTGGCGTCACAAGACCGCGGTAACATCACATGGCTCCCTCTACATATAAGCCAGGTAAGTGTGACTTTGTAAATGATCCAAGACGGATCGAAACGTCGTCGTAGCTCCTCTCTTCTATGTGCAGGTTATTTGTGTATTGTGTTGTATTCCCGAAACACGTCAGCCCACATAGACATTGCAGTGGACTGAGTCAGGTGTTAGGTAAAAAGGATTAACCTTTCATCGATACAGTGGCACATGGGGCGATCCACACATCCCAGGTTACATGATCTTCCCACATACTTACACCGATCATACTGAAGCACCTATGCCAGGATGGGGTGTGTATTATTATTACACCCGCTATACTGCAGCCCCGCGGGACAGCCGATACTGCGAGGGAAGACTCCCAGGCTGCGGCTGTTGAGCTTCCTAGACTGTTCACCCGAAGACCACTAATGGTCTTTAATGTTTAATCTTTATAAGAAAAATAACCGTAAGTTTCTTATACCACTAGTTTCTAGTTACTATTAGTTTCTAGTTAGTACTAGTGTCTAGTTAAAACTAGTGTTTAGTTACCACTAGTGTCTAGTTGTCACTAGAGTCTACTAACCACTAGTATTTAGTTACCACTAGTTTCCGTGGAGAAAATTATTATTTCTCCGACCCAAGGACATGGTTGCCCTGGGGATAGATGCCCACTAGGGTAAGGGATGCCCCGTTGGGCAGATGCCCATGGGGCTATGATCTCTTACTCTTTCCCACCGCTGGAGAAGAAGATTGAATGCACGACAAACAACAGCTCAGCTTCAGGTGTTCATTACTAGGCAAGATTGCAAATTGAACATAGATCAGCTACGTATGTACACTACAGAGTCTTGAGATCACTCAGCCCCTCCCCAGTGTCTCTGTTGTATTGCACATTTGTGAGTTAGTCTGTGGGAACTACAGATTCCCTTTACCATTTAAAATTCAAAATAATTTGACTCGGCCTTAATAATTCAGTTAGGGAGATTATTCTCTCCAGCTCTCATCTAGAACTAAAGGAAACAACTACTAGTATTTAGTTACCACTAGTTTCTATTAACCACTAGTATTTAGTTACCACTAGTTTCTATTAACCACTAGTATTTAGTTACCACTAGTTTCTATTAACCACTAGTATTTAGTTACCACTAGTTTCTATTAACCACTAGTATTTAGTTACCACAAGTATTTAGTTACCACTAGTTTCTATTAACCACTAGTATTTAGTTACCACTAGTTTCTATTAACCACTAGTATTTAGTTACCACTAGTTTCTATTAACCACTAGTATTTAGTTACCACTAGTTTCTATTAACCACTAGTTCCTAGTTACCACTAGTTTTTAGCTGTCAATAGTTTCTAGTTCCAGCATTTAATACTGCAAACTTAACCAATACAAATATCTTTTTATTATAGGAGTCGCATGCCCAGAGTGGAACAGGTTAAGAGAGGCTTACTTGGGCTGCTGCTCAGTGCCTTGCTGTAGTAAACTTCCCATTGTAAACCAGAGTGAATTGAAGAGATTAAACTGATTTTCCATACTTCTGTCTTCCTCTTGCCTGCATGGATAAGATGCGATCCATTCATAGGGACTTAACCTGTGGAGTAAGAACACGTAATCGGACACAGGGTATATGCCACAACAAACACAGAGAGGCACACACAAGAGAAACATGTTCAGTAATTTTGGTGAGGAAGGTATCTTGAAAACCTCGTATTGTGGGCTTTAGTAAAGTTATTGATTTTTTTCTCTCGGGAGTTAAAAATTAGTGAAAGGTGAGTGAAAACAAAAGTAAACGGATGGAACCCCAGCTAGGCAACCCTCTGACACAATGGAGTGATGTACTGATGTTCAGATCCTTGTGAGTGATTGATGGATTGGTCTTTAAGACAGTTCTGGGAGAGTGATAAATTGGTCTTCAGGACCCTCTGACAGGTGTGATAAATTGGGTTTCAAGAACCTATGAAAGACTAGTATATTGTTTCTTAGAACCTTTTGAGTGAAGGACTGATACTCCGGACCACCTGAAGTATCCTGATGGACCGGTCTTCAGAGCCCCTCTGAGCAAGTGACTGATTGCTTTTCAGGTCCCTCTGACAGAGTAATGAATTGATCTTCAGTCCTCTGTGAGTAACGAGTCATCATGTCCGTGTGATGAATTTAGTCTTCAGAATCCTTTTAGTGATGGGTTAGTCTTCATTATCATCTGAGTGATGGATTTAGTCTTCAAAATCGTTTGATTGAATTTTGACAATTTTGTTTTAGTAGCTAGGTTTCTTGAGTATGTCGAGCTTAAACTCCTGATCCGCCTGGATGCACTCAGCTCCAGCTCCAGCTCCTCGTATTCTCTGAAAAATTACACTACAGTTTCTTAGTCATTTGAGCAAATTTTGCTGCTGCTCTTTAAATATTTCGAGTTACAATTTTCATGTATCTCACGTACACTGAGGTACTGGAGTCTGTGGTTATATAAAATAGGAAATATATCTCTTGGTTGGCCCAGAAGCGGAAATTCTTCTACTTTTCCCATAAAGCAGTGTAGCACAATACTCATCAGGAAAATCTGAACTCAATACTAATGAACTGTGCTAGAACAATAACACTTCCTCCGCAACAACCTAATTATAATTTTATATTTATTCGAAAATCTCGATTATCTCATTAGGCTCTTCCTTAAAAAGATGTTTTCTGAACGGCACGGATCATCAGTTGGTGCACCAGCTAATTTCTCTTGTGTACCAGCCAGCAGTTAATGTTGCACAGACAGTAGGTGGTGCAACAGTCAGGAGCTGGTTCATCAGTTCTTGCAAACAGTACTCACTAGACAGAAGGTGCTGTCTCAGAATGCTTGGCTAGAGTGACACAATAACGTATGGTTCAGGGAAGTGGATAGATAATTAGATTATCTATAGATAAATTTCCCAGGGCTTCATTATTAACAAATTTCTGTAACGTACTTAGGCTGTATATTGTACATTTTGTCATTCTTAGGGTTTCTGTTAGGTGGCTTGTCACTTTCAAGGCAGCTCTCTGGAAACTGTTATTGCTCATTAATCCAGTTCCCACGGAAAGAAACCGTCACTTTTAGCTCTAGCTCTGAAGTTATTGTGGTATAATTCTTAAAGCTAGCTCTCAGAAAACAAGATTTAGCAGTTGGTGAGATCTTAATTGTTGTAACCTTTACGGAGAGGTCAACACAAGCTTTTGTGCTAATGCTGACAATCCCCAATGTTAGTAGTGTATTGAACATGTTATACAATTAATCAGGGCACATGAAAAGCGATCCAACCCCAATTAACCCTGATAGGGATATAACAATCTTCATTATCATTTAAAACACATTTTTATCATTTTCTTCCTATCTGATGTTTACTTTAGCAAGGATTCGTCTCCCTTTCCCTTTTGCATTATGGAGTCGATGCAGAACCAGAGACAGTTGGAAAGAATGTTCATTGTCTAGTTTGTCCGTGAGTTGGTAGCAAGAGTTTGGTTTGTACCACTTGAAGGACGATAATCTAGGAAGACATAAGGAATGAACACCTGAACAGTGAGATCAGCGTCGTTTACCAAGGCATATTTCATCAGTCTCCTGCGACATACTCAGGTTCATCAATGTACTTGAAGACTAACTACTAAACGCTCTATCTTAGGCTATCTACTAAGGATTATTGATAGTCCCAGGTCACCTACCAAAACCTATCTTTGTAGTCTTAGGCTATCTACGAAGGCTGATTACAGTAATCCTAAGCTATCTAGGAGGATTTTTTTTTTCAATAGTTAGGTTACCTACCATAGGATAGCAACCAAGGCTTAACATTAACATTTCTTATCCTATTTAGGCCTAAAAATGTTAGTAATAACACGACTTAGCATACACAATGACTACCATGCAAAATATATATCAACCTGGTATTTCATAAGACATAAGAAAGAAGGAACACTGCCGCAGGCCTACTGGCCCATGCGAGGCAAGTTCAACTCAAGTCCCGACTTAAACCTATGATCCACCTAGTCAGGTCAGGTCACATCCACTTAAGGAAAGGGCACGGCATGAGACCTATTAGCACAAGCTAGTCAGGTCCAACTCGCATCCACCCACACCCACTCATGTATTTATCTAACCTATTTTTAAAAACTACACAACTTCTTACCTTCTATGACAGTACTCGGGAGTTTGTTCCACTCATCCACAACTCTATTACCAAACCAGTACTTTCTTATATCCTTCCTGAATCCGAATTTTTCCAACTTAGAACCATTGCTGCGAGTCCTGTCTGGGCTAGATAATTTTAGCACTCTATTTATATTCCATTTATTTATTAATGTTTTCCAACTCTATATATACTTGGTTAGATCTCATTTAGATTATGCTGCACAGTTCTGGTCACCGTATTATAGAATGGATATAAATGTTCTGGAAAACGTACAGAGGAGGATGACAAAGTTGATCCCATGTATCAGAAATCTTCCCTATGAGGATAGACTGAGGGCCCTGAATCTGCACTCTCTCGAAAGGCGTAGAATTAGGGATGATATGATCGAGGTGTATAAATGGAAAACGGGAATAAATAAAGGGGATGTAAATAGCGTGGTGAAAATATCCAGCCAAGACAGGACTTGTGCAAGACAGGTATACAATACCGACAGGACTTGCAACAATGGTTTCAAGTTGGAAAAATTGGTAATAGAGTTGTAGATGAGTGGAACAAACTCCCGAGTACAGTTATTGAGGCTAAAACGTTGTGTAGTTTTAAAAATAGGTTAGATAAATACACGAGTGAGTGTGGGTGGGTGTGAGTTGGACCTGACTAGCTTGTGCTACTAAGTCTGATGCCGTGCTCCTTCTTTAAGTGGAAGTGACCTGACTAGGTGGGTCATTGGGCTAATCCGAGGGGGGGACATGGACCTGCTTCGCATGGGTCAGTAGGCCTGCTGCAGTGTTCCTTCTTTCTTATGTTCTTATGTTCTTATTTATACACCTCAGTCATATCCCCTCTAATTTCTAGAGAGTGCAGATTCAGGGCCCTCAGTCTATCCTCACAGGGAAGATTTCTGATACATGGGATCAACTCTGTCATCCTCCTTTGTACGATATCCAGAGCATTTATATTCATTCTGTAATACGGTGACCAGAACTGTGCAGCATGATCTAAATGAGGCCTAAGCAACGAAATATAGAGTTGAAGAACAACCTGAGGAGTTCTATTTATGGTCCTTCATATGAAGCCAAGGATTCTGTTCGCTTTATTGCAAACACTTATGCACTGTTGTATTGGTTTTAGATTACTGATAACCAGAACTACCAAATCCTTTTTTGCAATCAGTAATATTATGATCTACATTATTTAGTTTATATGTGGCATGGTTATTTTCTTCTCCAGTGTTTAGAACTTTGCATTTGTCTATATTAAATTGCATCTGCCACTTCTCCGACCATTGCATCAGTGTATTCAAATCTTCCTGGAGTGCTCTGTTGTCCTCATTAGAATGAATTAGCGGCGACCTATTTTGGTGTCATCAGCAAACTTGCTTATGTCGCTATTTATTCCCTCATCTAAGTCGTTTATATAAATTATGAACAACAAGGGGCCCAACACTGACCCTTGTGGAGCACCACTGATTTCTCCCCACTGAAGCAAACTCTCTGCTGCCTATCTCCCAGCCACGCCTCTACCCAGGAAAAATTTTCTCCTATTCCGTGTGCCTCAATTTTCCTCAGTAGCCTTACTGAAGCCCATATACACAATATTATATTCATTACCATGATCTACCCCCTCAAATACCTTGGTGAAAAAAGATAGTAAATTCGTAAGACAGGAACGTCCCTTTGTAAAACCATACTGATATTCATTAATCAATTTATGTTTTTCAAGATGGCTACGAATTGCCTCGGCAATTATTGACTCCATAAATTTTCCCACTAGGGAGGTAAGGCTTATTGGTCTATAGTTCGATTCTAGGGACCCCTCTCCTGCCTTGTAAATAGGTATTACATTTGCCATTTTCCACATGTCCCGCACTATGCCAGTTTGTAGTGATATATTGAAAAGATTAGCCAAAGGTTTGCTAAGTTCTTTACATTCCTTTAACACCCTTGCAAACAGTTCATCAGGGTCTGGGGACTTATTTGGTTTTAATTTCTCTGTTTGTCTGAGGACCATGTCACTAGTTACCCTAATCACGCTTAGTTTATTATCGTCCTGTTCTACATAATTTATAATTTCTGGAATTTAGCTAGCATCTTCCTGCCTAAAAACTGAGAGGAAATAAGAGTTAAACTTTCACACATTTCTTAATCACTATCAGTGATCTGACCTGAGTTAGTTTTGAGTGGGCCAATCTTGTTCTTAATTTTACTTCTATATACCTGAAAGAAATCTTTTGGGCTAGTCTTCGAATCCCTTGCCACTTTAGCCTCATAATCTCTTTTGGATTTGATTATTCCCTTTTTTATTTCTCTCTTTAATTGAATGTATTGATTTCTTAACTGCCCCTCTCCTGTTTTGATAAGCCTATTTATACGTCTTTTTTGATGAATGAAATATTTTAATCTATTGTTCATCCATTTGGGATCGTGTATGGTTAATCTAATTTCTC